TCACCAAAAATGAAAATTTGCTGTAAATCAGACCATCCAAGATGCTCACCAGTGGATCCTTTGCAGTGAATGGGTTGCCTCAGAATGAGAGTCCAAACAACTGATAAAAACATTTTAAAAATCCACAAGTTATCCATACCAGTCTAGTCCATCAATTCATGACTTGTGACGCGAACGACTGTGTTTGTAATCCACATTTGTTATCCATCATTGAGGTGTTTTTAGCTTCAAACCATTGCTTCTGGCGAAAATATAAGTTTATAATCCATAATATTGCTTCCTTCAGTGAAAGGCTCTCTTGTCTGAATCAGGAGAGAAATATGCACAGTTCAAGCACTGTTTACAAGTGAAAACAGCCCAAAAAATGTTTGCAAAATATCTTAGTGGATTTTGATGTGAGAGGACAACAATGGGTGGACTTTTTCACTGGAAGAAAAGTTAACATGGATATTGACTCATATTTTGGCCGGCAATGTTTTAAAGTTAAAATACCTTAATGATGGATTTGTTTCTTACAAACACACAGCTTTTCAACATTTTTTCAGCATCAAGACATTAATTGATGGACTTTAGTGGTGTGGATTATTGTGATGTTTTTATCAGCTGTTTGGACTCTCATTCTGACGGCACCCATTCACTGCAGATGATCCATTGGTGAGCAAGTGATACAATGCAAAATTTCTCCAAATCTGTTTTGATGAATAAACAAACTCCTCTGCATCTTGGATGGCATGAAAGTGAGTACAATTTCAGCAAATTTTTCATTTTAAAGTTCCTTTAAACAAGCCCCACTACTCTATTGCTGTGGTCTGCCATTTCTGGGTGGTGTAGCGATATATGTTTCTTGGATTTAACCGCAGTGTTGACGAGGCAATTAGTAAACAGCCAGAACAACACTGAACCAGATTTGCTGATTCTATGTAGATGGCTTGGTGTGCTGTGATTAATCATTTGTTAAAGAGGCATTCTTTGATATGTCTGCTTGGACTCCATAAAGCATATCATTAAAACCCATTTAGCCATTCAAAAGACTGAATGACAGGTTATCAAAGACAAGCACAGCCCCACCTCACACTTCAACTGAAGATGCCACTGTAGCATCTGATTATATCAAGACTTAAATTAACACAACTCTGTGTGCACCAGGTCCCGGGGAGCCGCTCTCGTCGAGTGAGTGATGCTCAAAGATCCTTTCAAGGTAAATCATATTCTGGCCTTTGATACGGGGTGGTTGGAGAGCAGGTCTGAAAATGAGAACATGTGGACTTTAGGGTTCTTTATCATATGTTTGGAATTCAGAGTCATCATTGGGTGAACAATGGGCCAAAATGTATACAATTCACCTTCAAAGGGATATTTTCTTAACCTTATTTCCCCCTAAAAGGTTTATAGCAGTAAGGGTACATATTATAGGTACTAATATGCATATTTTAGGCTTAAATGAGGTACAAAGTTGTTCTTTTAAGGGCACAAGCTTTTTTTCTGACAGTATAGTGTTTACACTGCAAGACTCGGCAATACGTTTTTTTATTATTATTATAGTAATAACCAGCTTTTAATGCAAATTAAAAAGCAGATAATTATCTGTGAACATTAAATTAATAAATTATTTTTGTGAAGAAAATGTAAATATTTAATTGTATAATTATAATAAAAGAAATAATAATAAAATGTATAATAAAAAACATAATTTAATGTTTTAAATCATTTTAAAATATATATTTGTATTAGTGCTGTCAAACGATTAATCGCATCCAAAATAAGTCTTCGCATGCATAATATATGTGTGTGTTCTGTGTATATTATGTATATATAAATACACACACATACAGTATGTATTTACATGTCTATATTTATATTCATATGATTTATATTATAAATATTTAATATATAAAAATAGCATATTTTTCTGAAATGATATACATGCATGTGTGTGCATTTATATATGCATAATAAATATACACAGTACACACATTATGCAAACAAAAACGTTTATTTTGGATGTGATTAATCGTTTGACAGCACTAATTTGTATGTATTAACATTTTTTAAATGTATGATTGGGATGTACATAAAACATTTTTTTTTTTTTTGCTTGGTTAGCCTGGTTTTCTCTCTGATTTAAATCAAAGAGTCATGCTCTTGTCTCGCTATTTCTATTACATTCCAAAGAACATATTTTATGTGCACCCAAAAACACATTTATTATATTAAAACATTTCTTATTTTTTATTTGCAATAATAATTACTATATACAATAACTTAAATAAAACGATGTATTTATGAGTTTTTTTGTTTTGCTTTTGTCCTCCTAAACTCTCAATCTCACGTCTTTCAGTTTTTCAGCAAATCTAGCCATTGTTCAATACATAAGATGTATCAACAGTGCAGCTCTGGCCTGAACTTTGAATGTTTATTGTTACCCCCTATAGCCTATCTTTGTCAAAAACGAGTGTTTCTGAGTTCTTCTCTATAGAAGTATAAACCCATGACTTTTAAGGCTAATGAAAAAGTTTGATGCAATCCACTATCAGAACATTGCTTTATAGAGAATAAGAGACAGTCGATGGAGGCCGATGCCAGACATCTTGTCAGAGCACGCAGTATACCTCGATAATATTGAACCCAACAGATTTCATTTTCTCCCCAGTGAATAGAACCTTTGAGAGCACTGCTGAAACTTGGCAGGGCGTGCTTATTGTTGTCTGAACAGCCTGATGTTGTATTAGTAGTAATGGTTTTAGAAATAGTGCCTGTCTGAAGTACGTCACAGTTGCAGTTTGTCGCTGGACAGGGAGCATTTAAAGATGAAAAATGGAAGGAACTTTGATTTAACAGTCAAAGCATTTATCTCATTGCAGTGCTCAGATAATTTTGCTCATTCTGAGGGGCATGACGGGGTTTTGTCTTTTAAGATATGGAAGGTAACAAATGGATATTACTGCTTCAGGCTGACAACTCTCAGAAGTGTCTGGACATAGATTACAGCACTGCTGCTAAAACAGTTACTGCCTCAGATATTCCCACACAGAAAAAGATTTCATTTGTCTTCTCTACATTTCCTCAGACCCTTTCACACTGGGTCATTCAGAGCTGAGACGAATGACCATAATATCGGTCCATTTGTCTCAGCTTTGTGCTATCAACTTCTTTCTCTAACATGAGTAATGATTGGTTTTTAATTTAAGTGGGACGTTTAACCTTTTTTTTTTTTTTTTTGCTTGGCTACATCACCAAAAAAGAAAATACATTTCAGAGGCTGCAAAGTTATTTTGTTAAGTTTGGAATTAATTCTTCCTTTAAAAAAAAGATATTACACCAGAATATGGTAATTGTATCTGATCATTTTTATTGAGCGAAGCAGAGAGGCAAACAAGAGCCATTTCAAATGTACATTTGCAGAACATAATCAAGCAATGCCAAGCCTCAAAGTACACAGTAATGTTTCCTCCATTTCAGTCTAATATTAACAGTGTAAGGCTATAAATTTGAAGCTGTTACACTCTCATGTATTTTATACAGACAAGCAATAGCTTCAATTTATGCACAAGTCTTTTACATGAAAAAAACTACATACATCATATGTACATAAATGAGAATAATTTGAATGCTGAGTGTAATATATGCAGCTCTGTGGTACTTTAAAAACTTTATTGTTTGACTGCTTGGACAGCATTTTCTGGCTCAGCCAAAAGTTGATTTTGTGGTCACTAATGTTTCTGGTGTTGGCAGCTTTTCTGAACAACTTAACTAGTAGTCTGGCTGAAAATCCCATGAAATGATTTTAACATACAATTGTCTGTCCATTGGTGATGTACATTGTAACAGGAAGTTGGAATGAGAAATACAGCATCTTTTTGACCTTTTGGTTGTCTTTTTTTTTTTAAACCTTGATTTTTGCTTACAATTGCAAAAGTCGGTGACTGGTGATATTAGATACTGAGGACATTCTCATTTTAGAGAGCATTTGGTTGGACAAAGAAATAGTTTATGTCCTTGTTGACAACATGAATTAACAGTTTTGGTCCATATTCTAGAAAAAGAAATACTGTAGATTTTAAATGTGTCTGCTAAAAATGAAATCAACTTAACTTTTAGAGCATACTATCTTCTAGATCTCAAATCGAACAGACATGGACCCATTCCATCTCATTTGAGACTCTGGACCCTGGTCATAAGGGTACATTTTTCGAAATTGAGATTTATACATCATCTGAAAGCTGAATAAATAAGCTTTCCATTGATGTGTGTGGTTTGTTAGGATAGGACAATATTTGGCCGAGATACAACTATTTGAAAATCTGTAATCTGAAGGTGGAGAATCTGAGAAAATCAGCTTTAAAGTTGTCCAAATGAAGTTCTTAGCAATGCATATTACTAACCAAAAATTTAGTTTTGATATATTTACCGTAGGAAATTTACAAAATATATTCATGGAACATGATCTTTACTTAATATCCCAATGATTTTTGGCATAAAAGAAAAATCTATAATGTTGACCCATACAATGTATTTTTGGCTATTGCTACAAATATACCCCAGCGACTTAACACTGCTTTTGTGCTCCAGGGTCACATATGTCCTCACATGATGCATAACCTTTATATTATGGTCCCAAAAAATGTGTTCATGATAAAATATCTGGCCTTCAAAAATCTGGTTGGGACAATGAATACAACACAAATCAAATAGATTTTTTTTTAACTAAAGCATAAAAATACCATAATATGTTTGCAGATATTTAAGAAACATGCTAAGTTAACATACTTGTTTATCTGAAAAACAATGCTACAGTCAGTTATTCTCATTTCAAAATGTGCGTTCCGGGCCGGAATGTCGGTCTCTGTTTTGGTTTGTGAAACCCGCCCACTGCCAGTTTACCCAATTGTATTTCGGCACCCCGGGTTGCCAGTTGGCAGAAAATACAGCGCATTTCATTACATTCATCGTCAAGTGCGCTAGTTCCTGTTGGTGTCGTCAACTTTGCATCAAGTCTGAGAAGGAGGGGCCTGGTGAAAAAAAAACCTGTTCCAATATTTTGAATTTGGACTGCAATACCTAGTTCAACCACTCGGTGTCAATTCTACATACAGCGCCTTTAACATGGTCTTTGTAAAGGCAGTATAGCTGCAACTGATACTCAACAGCATGCTAATAATAAACTCCGGATTTAACAGAGAATTATGGCGATATAAATGGAAGTAGCTGTGTTAGTACAAAGTCAAATTTTCTGTCTCTCGCTGCGCTATAATTAGACCCTCTGCCTTCCAGACAAATCCTTTACATTGTCACCTTCGAATCCAGTAATATGCAACAACAGGTGCAGACGCTTCCACGTCGTCATTCTGGCTATCGTATCATCAACAAACAGCAGTAATGACAGACAGATCGTTGCCAAGGGGATCAGCTGGTCAAGTTTTCCTAAACAAACCCACTGGGTCCTGGAGCAAATGCTGATTGGGCTGAACACTTACAGGGATGATTTCTAGCCGGCTCCCACAAGTAGTAAAATTTTGCTAAACACAAAGACAGTATTAATGCTTCACAGTCTTTAGATGTTATGTTGACCAAGATACAATGAAGTTTTCACACATTAGCCTTCCATCCCCAAGAAAACCTAAAAACCTGTTTTGGTTTGTTGTATCTCACATTACGACCTTCGCTGGAGCGTGTACCATTTGACCTTCTCCTCACAAGATTGGTATTTTAACACTGAAAGTATTTCCTACATTCTTTTCTAGGCTAAATTGTTGCTTGAATAGAAGCTGGATGACTCTGATACAGTCTTGGAGGCGCTTTGTGAAGAACCATTAGACGCGAGATCTATTGAACATTGATTTGTATTCTCCCGAAGGTCCCCCTCGATAACCGGCATCACTGTGGATACTGTGGTCTCCATTCGGCTTGCACGGTAAATGCTGGCCTGCGTCTGAAGATAGCGAGTTGACTTGAGCTCCAGACCTTCATATGAGCCTTGAGGGACACAAGGACACCAGGAGAATGCCTGCTGGAATCCAGCTCGAAACCTGCACAGAGTATTGCATGATAAGTTTGCCCCTAAACTTGAAATGTTTGCCTCTAAACCAACTCTTACCTGTCATTGAGAAGACAGTAGATGATGGGATTGTACATGGTGGAACTCATGGCAAGCCACATTATTCCTAAGTACACCTGCTGGATGTACTGTTCCTCAAACAAGTGGGGAAGGAACTGGTGCAGCAGGAAGTAGACATGGTAGGGCAGCCAGCAGATGGCGAAGGTGCACTCAACGACAATCATCATCTTCACCACCTACAGAAGTTAAAGGGATAGTTCACCCAAAAATTTAAATTCTGTCATTAATTACTCACCCTAATGTTGTTCCAAACCCGTAAGACCTTTGTTTATCTTCGGAACACAACTTAAGAAATTTTTTATGAAATCTGAGAGCTCTTTGACCCTCCATAGACAGCAACGCAACTGTAATATTCCCAGAAACGTAGTAAGGACACCGTTAAAACAGTCCATGTGACATCAGAGGTTCAACCACAATTTTGTGAAGCTACAAGAATACTTTTTGTGCACAAAGAAAACAAAAATAACTTTATTCAACAATTTTTCTCCTCCAAATCACGTATTCTGCCATTATAGGGAGTGCCATGATGCATGTGCATTGCTTTCCTCTGTAAACAACACATGCGTGTGATGCTGCTGACGGACAACACATCAGCGGTTCAAATGCAATTTCGCGAAGCCACGATGCAAAATGCAATGTCCTTACTACATTTTTGGGTCTGGGAACATTTCAGTTGCATTGCTGTCTATGGAGGGTCAGAAAGCTCTCTGATTTCATCAAAAATATCTTAATTTGTGTTCCGAAGATGAACGAAGGTCTTACAGGTTTGGAACGACATGAGGGTGAGTAATTAATGACAGAATTTTCATTTTGGGGTGAACTAACCCTTTAAAGTAGAAGGAGCTGAAGTAAGTTAAAAACCTGGATTTGTTGCACATCTAGTGACTTACAGCAACCAGTAATCATGTTCCTACATGGTCTTGTTGAAAAGACCAGCAAAGATGGTCAACTAAAAAGCAATTAATTAGCTACTCATTAGATCTTCAGCAGTGTAATTAGATTACTGTACTAATTTATTAATAAATTAATTACGTTATAAATTCTACATCTGCCTAGACCAGTTGAACTAGTGCACGGATAGACATGAAACTGCTCTTTAATTCTTTCAAATAAATAATATAAAATTCCAGTAATCATTCTTGAACCGACCAAAGTATTTAAAGGGTCCAGGTTACATTAAAATATACATTTTAACTTTGCATGTAAAATTTTCATGTTAAATGAATTCACTACTGTTTTATATAGAATTGTTATAGTCTACAATATTAGGCTACATCAGAAGTAACTTTCAGTAACCAATTCTATGGTGATACATTACACCCTACAGTGCTGTGGTAGGACCATGCTTGTAAAGTGATGGTAATACAGTGCCGTTCGATATATACCATGGATATTCATGTGCTATGATATTTAGATGACCTCCAAGGTACCGAAAAAGATTAATGGCTCGCTCACCTGTCCAGGGCTATTGCCGTCATAGAGTAAATACTAGCGAAGACAGCTGCTATTGGAAAGAAGTTGTGAAATCTGCAGTAAACAAGTCCGAAGTACCACTCGTTGTGCACTGCATACACAAAGTTAATAACGGTATTGAAAGCCGACATAGAAGCCTCTGCGAACGCAAGATTGACTAGAAAATAGTTGGTCACAGTTCTCATGCGCTTATGCGCTAAAATGATCCAGATGACAGTGATATTTCCAACAACCGACACCAGAACTATACAGCAGTACGCGATGGCCCACAGAACTATCTGCCACACCGGCTGAACGAACTGGTTCGAGAGCACGTCCGTGTCATTGACCAATGAACTGCTGGTCCCGTTGCCGCTTGAGTTTTGTGAAGTGATGTATAGAGGATCCATGATCAGTAAATGATCAGAGGAAGAAGCGAAGAAGTTTGTTTTGTTGTTGTTAAGATTGGGTTGGTAAAAACCGGTCCAAATGAGCAAATGAAATGTCAGTGCTCTTGTCCCAGGGTCTTCAGAACACGCTGCAGGCTGAAGCGCGAGCGCGTACTCCTGTGGCTGGCGTGTCCGCGCTGCATCTTTCCAGTCACGCGCATCCTCCTTACTGTCACTTATCACTGTTTGACTTTCAAACGTGTTTTGAGAACAAAACGCCGAATAAAAATAGTAGGCTTCAGTTGGAGTAATTTGAAAACTTAAACTTGCATGGGGAAAACCCCCAATGGACATCACCAGAGACTGGGTTTCCTTTGTGATGCTTTGCCAGGCCTTTACTGCAGCTGACTTCAGTTGTTGTTTGTTTGTGGGTCTTTCTGCCTTTAGTTTTGTCTTCAGCAAGTGAAATGCACGCTTAATTCGGGTTGAGATCAGGAGATTGACTTGGCCATTGCAGAATATTCCACTTGCTTTTCCAGTTGCTTTTGCTGTATGTTTTGGGCCATCATCCATTACTATGAAGTGCAGTCCAATCAACTTTGCTCCATTTGACTGAACCTGGGCAGAGAGTATATCACTATACACTTCAGAATTCATCCGGCTGCTTCTGTCTTCTGTCACGTCATCACTAAAGTAACCCAGTGCCACTGGAAGCCATGCACGCTCCTGCCATCACACTGCTCCACCGTGTTTCACAGATGATGATGTTGTATGCTTTGGATCATGAGCTTTTCCAAGCCTTCTCCATACTTTTTTCTTCCCATCATTCTGGTACAGGTTGATCTTAATTTCAGCCGTCCAAAGAATGCTTTTCCAGAAGTGGTCTGGCTTTTTTAGATGTTTTTTTGGCTATATCGAATCCTCCGATCATCCACCACTGTTGTCCTCTGTGGACATCCAGGCCTTTTTATGTGGCTGAGCTCACCAGTGCGTTCTTTCTTCTCAGAATGTACCAAACTTCTGATTTGGCCACTCCTAATGTTCCTGCTATCCCTCTGATGGATTTGTTTTGTTTTTGAAGCCTCACGATTGTCTTTCACTTGCATGGAGAGCTCCTTTGACCGCATGATGTGGGCTCACAGCAACAGCTTCCAAATGCAAATGGAACACTTAGAATCACCTCCAGACCTTTTACCTGCTTAACTGATGTAGAAATAACGAAGGAATAGCCCACGCCTGTCCATGAAACAGCGTCTGAGTCAATTGTCCAATTGGTCCCTTGAAAAAAGGGGGGGGGGGTACATATTAAAGAGCTGTAATTCCTTAACCTTCCCTCCAATTTTGATGAGAATACCCTTAAATTAAAGCTCAGAATGTGCACTTTAAGTTTGAATAATTTGAAAACTTAAAAGCAACAAATATCTATATCTAAAAACAAAAATCAAAAAACACGGTGAACCAGACATTCTTACTGTGCAGAATAATATAGGCTAATTGTATTGGATAAAATAAACAGGCCTTTTTATGTGGCTGAGCTCACCAGTGCGTTCTTTCTTCTCAGAATGTACCAAACTTCTGATTTGGCCACTCCTAATGTTCCTGCTATCCCTCTGATGGATTTGTTTTGTTTTTGAAGCCTCACGATTGTCTTTCACTTGCATGGAGAGCTCCTTTGACCGCATGATGTGGGCTCACAGCAACAGCTTCCAAATGCAAATGGAACACTTAGAATCACCTCCAGACCTTTTACCTGCTTAACTGATGTAGAAATAACGAAGGAATAGCCCACGCCTGTCCATGAAACAGCGTCTGAGTCAATTGTCCAATTGGTCCCTTGAAAAAAGGGGGGGGGGGTACATATTAAAGAGCTGTAATTCCTTAACCTTCCCTCCAATTTTGATGAGAATACCCTTAAATTAAAGCTCAGAATGTGCACTTTAAGTTTGAATAATTTGAAAACTTAAAAGCAACAAATATCTATATCTAAAAACAAAAATCAAAAAACACGGTGAACCAGACATTCTTACTGTGCAGAATAATATAGGCTAATTGTATTGGATAAAATAAATTCACATTTTGAAGATGGAGGGGGGTGAAATGTAGTGGATTGCAATCTTTTAAATATATTTAGAATTATTTCAAGTGTTTCTTCGTGTTTTCTTTCTCATATTTACATGTTACAAACTAAACGTATTCTTTATTTTTCTGTGTTTTCCCAGTGTGCTCCAAATGGAACACTTAGAATCACCTCCAGACCTTTTACCTGCTTAACTGATGTAGAAATAACGAAGGAATAGCCCACGCCTGTCCATGAAACAGCGTCTGAGTCAATTGTCCAATTGGTCCCTTGAAAAAAGGGGGGGGGGGGGTACATATTAAAGAGCTGTAATTCCTTAACCTTCCCTCCAATTTTGATGAGAATACCCTTAAATTAAAGCTCAGAATGTGCACTTTAAGTTTGAATAATTTGAAAACTTAAAAGCAACAAATATCTATATCTAAAAACAAAAATCAAAAAACACGGTGAACCAGACATTCTTACTGTGCAGAATAATATAGGCTAATTGTATTGGATAAAATAAATTCACATTTTGAAGATGGAGGGGGGTGAAATGTACTCTATAGTGGATTGCAATCTTTTAAATATATTTAGAATTATTTCAAGTGTTTCTTCGTGTTTTCTTTCTCATATTTACATGTTACAAACTAAACGTATTCTTTATTTTTCTGTGTTTTCCCAGTGTGCTTGATGTCACTTTCCATCCGGACAGTCTTTTGAAAAATCCCTGTTCCTAAGAATATCATCCTTCAGGAAGTGAGATTATTTTGGAGGGAAAACAACAGCAGTACATCAGTAAGTGTTAGCAATGAATTCTGTGATGTTTTGTGGTGTTAGTTTGTCTCTCTAAAACATTTAAACCAGTTTGATCGGATTTCAGTTATTGCTGCACTAATACTGTGGTCATTTGTTATTAGCCACCACTATAATAACAAAAAACCTTGAATAATAAAAGCTTCTTATACTGTTTATCTTTTTAATCATGTTACAGTGTTAGGATTAAAACCTGCAACCAACAACAACTTACATCATTTCTCTTCTTTCTGTCTTTTAAGACCAAACATAGCACCAGGATGATATCAGCTGCTGGCTAAATCGATTACTTTTATTTTCATCCACTTGAGAAAAATGTTAGTTTTCACCTTGAATGTGGCATTTTCAGATTCCATTAACAACTAACCTTTAGCCCAACAGCAAGGTCAGTGCATGCATATATCAAGACGTCCACAGGTGGGAAATGTGAGGACTGGATCAATGCACAATCCTTGACCGGCTGCTGAATCTACCATTACTTGAGCTGTGTTTTTTTTTATCGACAAGCCATTTATCGCCACAAAACATCTCAACATTTGAAATTGTTTTGTGCGGAAGGTCATAAATCATCATCAGAAAAATATTGACGAAAAATTATGGCCAAGGACAAGTTTTTTCTAAAAAGACCAAATAAAATAGCTTCAATTCATCACCATAAATGGACACAAAGACAGAAGTTCAATTAGTAAAGTGGCCTATTAGTAAGTGACCTCTGCACATGCCAATAAATACGCTTTTGATAGACCTATACAAATTTAGAGGTCCTTTAATTCTTCAAGAGGGTGATGCATTCTCTCACAGTATGTCTTTTGACTTTTTATTGTATTCCATCACTTAAATGTAGGTTTCAGTTCATTGCAAATGAAATATGCAGTCAAGCACTCAGGGTTATCCTGAGGTTAAGAAGAACTTGACAGCAGTGGGGACATTGGGCTTTTATATTACTGAGTGCAGAATAAAAGCAATTCACCATAATTCCATGCTCTACTGCCAAACTATCTTTTTTGTCCCTTCATTCTGCTACTCTAACTGCATTTCACTAAAATAGTATTCCCATTTCTGAGAGTCTAAATGGTTTTATTTTTAAGAAAGTGGCCCCAAAAAATAACAGTAGAAATAAAACCAATGTTGTCTATGACACTGGGACCGTTGTTGGCGGCACCCATGATGATGTTTTGCGGATAAGTTATCGGATCAAAACAGGAACATATGCTGTGCTGTCAGAAGCGTTCAGGGATATTTTGAAATGGTCAAATGGTGTTTTGATTGGGTGAATGATCTTGACCAGATCAACTGCGAGGTTTTATCCATTGATTTGTTTTGTTTTGGTCCCACTCTGTGCACCTGTCCAGTCCCTCCCTGGTGGCTGCAAGTGTCCAACCGAATGTGAGTGATCAGAATTGACAGCAGGGAAATGGAAATTCAATTTCACACATCACCTGCTGCTCGCTAGAATGTAATCCACTAGAATGAAGGGAAGAGGAAAAGAAATGAATAATGTGAGAAACTTGATGATTAATTTCATCCTGCAATATATAGTATTTTTTTGATAATTCTGTAGTCTTCGAATTAAAACCTGAAGCTACATGAATATGTAAATATTTTGGCCTGGAAACTGCTTGACCCTGGAGTCATAAAGGGTAATTAAGTTTCAGAGAGGCTGCTTTGCAGAAAACTCATTCACATGGTAGAATTGCCTTGAAGGCATGTAACGATTAGAAAAGCGATACATGTCGGGGAATTGTTTTCAACGGTGAGTGACTGATAATCAATACAGCCCATACCGTCCTGTATCATTAAACTAGAATACATTAATTTGTCTCTTGAAATTCAGTCATAAACCACAATAAAAAAATCAATATTTTGGACTTGTTCCATGTGTAAAACCTTGTTGCATGAAATTTAATTAAATGCAATTAATCAATCATGTTTTAAAATACAAATCTGCTTTATATTTTCTCTACTGCAGGATGCAGGATCTTCGGTTGGAAACCATCAGGTCAAGTAAAGTCAGCTTTGTTTTTATGGTGCTTTATACAATACAGACTGTTTCAAAGCAGCTTCACATTATTAAACACGAAAGTAACAGAATCAATGATATTCAAAGACCACATTGCAAAGACTGCTCGATCTTGCAGGTTTGCATTGCACAACATCAGAAAGATCAGGCCCTTTCTAACGGAGAATACTGCACAACTCCTTGTCATCTCTAGGCTGGACTACTGCAATGCTCTTCTGGCTGGACTTCCATCAAGCACAATCAAACCTCTACAAATGATTCAGAATGCAGCGGCACGAC